GGAGTACCCCCTCTCCGCTCCCCCTCGCCACGGAGTACCCCCTCTCCGCTCCCCCTCGCCACGGAGTACCCCCTCCTCACCACGCTCCCCTCGCCACGGAGTACCTCCCCGCCCCGCTCCCCCCTCGGAGCTCCTGGGTTTAGAACACCCTATTCTCCCCTACTCATTTATATATTTGTCATAGTTCAGAAAATTAATATAATTTATTATTATCCAGTGAACTCTATACATACTGGAATGAGTGATCTATTGTTCTGGCTGTTGCCGAGAGAGAGGTGCGTTTGGGTGAATCCTTGTCTCCTTCTAGTACTATCTGATTGGATAGCATATAAAAAACGAGAAGGGCGTCACTTATATGCGATTATCCAATCAGGTAGTACTAGAAGGAGACAAGGATTCACCCAACGCACCTCTTTCTCGGCAACAGCCAGAACTATAGATCACTCATTCCAGTATGTATAGAGTTCACTGTTATTATCTGACCTGCCAGATGCATAAGCTCCTTGAGCTTCGAGTATTTTAGAATCCCGTCTTTTGTTTCTAATACTCGAACGATTTCCACTTATTTCGCCAGCCTGTAGACGTTTTAATTTTAGTTCTTCATCAATAATCAATTTCCTTAAATTATCTGCAAATAGAATAATTATATCAAATTTGTTCATTTCTTCATGAAAGGAAATAAATTACCTAAGCAACATTACCTAAAAAGTCCCATACGTTTCCATGAGATTTGCTGAATTTTTTTCCTGCTATATTATGGAAGCTTTCTGTTATGTTATTCGTTCTTGAAGGACAGTTAGAAACACTAACTTTCGATGATATTGGTAACCAAGTTCTTTGTACATAATCTAGAAAATTATTTACAGCAAGATATTTTTCTGAAATTTGACAAGCTTCAAGCTGTATAACGAAGAATGCTTTCTCAAAGCAATCGGAAGGAATCAAGGCCATAGTCATAGTCATAGATAACACAGTTCTTGGTGCATCCATTAAACCTAATCGCCGCTACTGACGTAATAGTGCCTATAAATATTTTTATTAATTATGATCAATTCAAATAATTATACAGGCAACTACTGTGGGTATAATTTCAAAAGAGTCTATTTGCTGTAGATAATGAATTTCACATTCATTAATATGAAAAGAGACAGTAATATCTTGCACCAACTGTAAGCGCTCCACACAAAACAACAATATTAGGGAATTTACACCAAATAAATATGAAAACATAGTAACATGTGAGTATTATAATTATGTTTCATTATTTTCCATTGATAAAAGTAACTCGTTACTATTATTAGTTTTATTTTATAACATTACAAGTAACGCAACGTTGAACTTATTTGGCGTAAATCTCCTGATATTATTTCTGGACGAAGTGTATCAAAATAACATTAAAAAATATCTTTTTTTATAAGTCCGCGTCATAAAGCTTTCTCACAGTGATTTTTAATGATGTAAATAATCAAATCTTAATAGTTAACAATATATATTTTTTAAATAAATTGTACCTGATTAAAGTGAAACCAGCAACCATGCGCCTCTGCTGTTGGAAATTGTTCATTTATTACTTTCATGGCAGCCGCTTCATAGTCACTCATTATAAACTTTAAATTTTGTTTAAGAGGTGATACTAATTCGATAATTTTTTCCCAAATAGCTTTATACATGTTACTTGAGCGACTTTCACACAGAACAAAGATCATACCAATACCCTATAAAATTTAAAAGTTTTGTTACTAACAATAAAACAAAGTAATATATCTACATATCTTGCAAGGGAATCATATAAAAAATAAGATATTTGCACTAAATTAGTATAAATATTATATAAATTTTATTATTTTATAATTTAATTATTTTATTCATAGTATTATACTATTTAGAACAGAAGCAAACATTTAGGTGAACCATGTATAAATTTCTTACAAAAATACCCTATTAATTTTTTTTCAATTCTTTTGATATCCGTATAAAATATTATTTTCCCATTGTTTTTATACTTTTCCTATATTCATTTTTTAAAAGAATAATATATAAGCAATCGGTGTAAAAAGAGCATTAAATGAACTTAATGCAGAATATTGGTACAAGCCTCTATATACTACACTGCTCAAAAGAAATATGGCATAGAAAAATTTTATGCAAAAATTGGTCAACTTTGACTGACGGTAACTCCGTGAAAAATCATCGTAAAAATTATGTTCGTTTTTTTTTAAATTAAAGC